GTCGCCCATCTCAAAGATTTACAAGGTGGCCTATCTTCTCACAAATTGTGTTACTTGTTGTCGAAGGCGCAATGTCAACAGCGTATATTTTGCATTAGACCCACCTACACAGGAAGAATATCTAAACCATAATGAATAACACGATTCAAGACATCATCAAATTACAGATTAATCACCCAATTTGTCGATGTGTTTTTCAAGAAGCTTAGCCATTTGCCGCTGCTCGTTTCGTCGATATTCTTGCTCCTCCTGCTCAAACTTAAGGCGTTGCATACGATAGGCATGGTCGTCTTCATGGCGCTTGGTTTCAAACGCCAACAAAAGATCCGTTGGATCGTGGCCGGTGTCCCTTTTGGACGCCGTGGGATTATTCCCAAGGGTCATTCGTTTCGACACACGCTCTTCGGCCTCGTTGCATGCCCCTTCGCCCGCAAGGTCAAGCTCGTCTTGACGGTCTTGTTCACTTTCACGTTTCCTTGTTCGCTTGCTCTTTGCATCTTCACGTTGGTCATGAACATCTTGTTTGAGCTTCGTCAGGTCGTCCGCGTCGTCGTCAACTCCCGATGCTCGCATGCTCTTCTGGTTCTCATGGCCAAACTGGTCGAGAATTCCATCGCAGCGAGCCTGGCATACACGGCCCGAGATGATTTTGTCGTACTCCTGCATGGCGAGCGCTGCCCTTGCCCACGTCGTGGCCACTTTGCCATGCCCTACGTCGTATGGACCAAGCCGCAACCTCCATAAGGAGTGCCTCGTTCATTTCGTCCGACCAAACGATCTGTTTCCTATCTTTCCGACCCATCGTGCCAGCGACTGAGAATTTCCGGCTTTACAAAGCAGAGTTGGTTGGTAATATTGATTTCCCAGCTTGTGTCAGTCGTTTTGCGGACTTTGGCGAACTTCGAAGCATTACTTATTCGAATTTTGAAGTCGGGAAATGAATTTCGGACTTGCTAAATCCTTCTACACCATTGCCCGTTCAATGTGGCGAAACCAGCAACTAATGTGGTTTCGAAGTTTTAATTACTTCGAACGTCGAAGTACACCTGGAATCTATTTCATTCAAAGTGGTTTAATCTGCAATCAATGTGGCCAACCTGTAAGCTCTAATACGATCGAACATGTATTGACAAAGTTTTGCTTTTGGCGCATCTTTGGCATGCTGAAAGCTTCGTCGCAGCTCCGACCGAGCGCCGTCATGATGCAATAGATCGAAC